CACTTAAGTGTATGGCCTCAAGTATTTTGCTTTTATAATGTCTGTTGTCTAAAATGGAAGCAAATTTGAGAGATGGAAATAAATTGGATAGAACGCTTTCAAAAGAATAAAGTACTGGGCATGGTGGTGCATCCCTAATCCAGTAGTCAGGAGGCTGAGGCAGGAGGATCACCGTGAGTTCGAGGCCAGCCTGGGCTACATAGTAAGTTCAAGGCTAGCCTGAACTGAGACACTGTCTCAAACAAACAAACAAACAAACAAAAACAATAAAGAAACAGGGTGTGGTGGTACACACCTCTGGTCTAAGCACTCTGGGAGGCTGAGGCAGGAAGATTACAAGTTTGAGCCTAGCCAGTGACTTATTGAGACCCTATTTCGGAAAAAAAAAAATTTAAAAGGGCTTAGAGATGTAGCTCAGTATGCAGGCCCTGCATTCAATCCCCAGAACTGCCAAAAGGAAAAAAAAAAAGAGAGATCCGGATAGGAGAGGAGGGGCGGGGAAAGGAGGAGAGGAGAGAGAGGATGGAGAAGAGAGGAGAGGAGGGGCAGGGTATGGCAGGCAGGGCAGGGGAGGGCAGAGGAAAGGAGAGGAGGGGTGGGGAAGAGGACTGATGAAAGAAACAATAGAGAAATTCTAACCCTCTGTCCCACTGCTCCTTGATAATTCTCTAAACTGTACATGTTTTATACATTCTTCTATATAGATAATTTATAATGAAAAATAAAAAACTAGATCCAGGGCCCTATATAGGAATTTAATCATCACAGATTTTAAAAAGAAATCAAACTATTCCTAGTTTTTAAAAGTATAAGCGGCTTCTCAAGTATGTCATTTCAAAAAAGCCAAACATCCCTAAAACCAAACTCTGGCTATATAACTAGGAGACAATGTAGTTATAAAATATTCTAAAATAGTAAATCATTCCCTTTTTTGTGCTTCTTAAAAGTTGCACATTTTCAGGTTTGAAAATAGTTTTCCTTGCTTAGTGAGCAAATAAAAACAGGTGATGCTGATGCCAAGAGAAGCTATGAACATGTATACTTCCTTTTTCCTTCTGAGGTACTGGGTACTGAACCCCCATGGCCTTGTGCCTGCTAGGCAAATGCTCTACCCAGCTCCATCTCAGCCCCTTCTTAAATTTTTATTTTTAGAATTATTATTTCTCTTTCTGATAAATACATAGGGTCTTACTGCATAGTCCAGGCTGGCCTTGAACTCACTTTATAGCTCAGGCTGGCCTCAAACTTACACTGATCCTGCTGCCTCAGCCTCCCAGTGCTGGGATTACAGGAGTGTACCACCAAGCCTGGCCTTTAAATTTTTATTTTAAAACAAGAGTTTTACTAAATTTCCCAGGCTTACCTCTCACAAGAAGCTGCAATTACAGGCATGCACACGGCTGCATATGTCTGCTTTTGTTTGTTTGGATTTTGTTTGTTTGTTTATTGACTGATTGACTACAGTACTGGGGACTGGACTAGGGCCTCAGCACTGAGCTACATCCCCAGTCATTTTAAAATTTTTTTTATTTTGAGATAAGGTCTTGCAAAATCAGTAAATTTCCCAGGCTGGGCTGAATTTATGGTCCTCCTGTCTCAGTCTCCCAGAGTGCTAGAATTACAGGAACTGTGCTACCATGCCAGAGTATATACTTATATTTTTATTTTTTAAATTTTTTTTATGCTTATATTTTTAATCCCATAAAAGGTTCAGTAAAATTTGTGGTTTTTTTTTTTTTTTTTTTTGCTGTTCTTTTGAGGGGATTTTTTGTTGTTATCCAGTAAAATTGAGCCTTTTGTTTCTCTAATATTTCATTATATTCTAGAATTAGCATATTTTTAATTCCAACAATTATAGTTACTAAGTCTCACAATTTAGCAAGAGCTCAATTAAGCCCACTTAAGGGCGGGAAGTGTAGCTCAGTGATAACGTGTATGCTTAACACACACAAGGCTGATTCACTTAAAATTTAACCCTAACAAAACAAGATAATGCCGGGTGTGATGGCACACACCTGTGCTCCCAGCACTCTGGTGGCTGAGGCAGGAGGATTGCCACAAGTTCAAGGCTAACCTGGGCAATGCAGTGAGTTCAAGACCAGCCTGAACTATATAGTGAGACCCTGTCTTAAAAAACAAAACAAAAAACAAACAAAAGAAAAGAGAAAACAGGACAAATGCTTCCAGGACATCTAAGCAAAATGTGTCTTTCCCCCTTGCTGACTGGGCTGCATCCTCTGACCGTATAAACAGTAACTGTGAGTCCTCATAGCAAGTCACAGAATCTAGGGGTGGTCTTGAGAATACAGAATGAGAATGAACGAATGTGCCTATATATACAAAGTTAAGCTGTCCCATAGACTAGCTTGGCTGGCTGACCTGCAATTTTCAGAGAGCAGAATTCCTCAGCTTCTTGCCTCAGCAACTACTAATGGGCATGAATCACACAACTCCGCATGCTGCCCTTCTCCTCCAACCCACACACCTCCCTTCCCACAGCTGCTGCTTGATCTTTTCTTAGCTGTCTCAATCCAGAAAGCAGAAGGCTTAGTGTGCCATTATCCCATATTCAAGATATAAACAAAAGCCTACTTGGAGAAAGATGTTTTTAACATTTTAAGAACTTAAAATGCACATAAAATGCTCTGCAGATAATAAAGTGCTTTATAAGGAAATGCATTATTAGGCTTAAAAGGCAGGTGTGTATGCCATAAAGTACAGCTTGACATCTTTGATGTGATGCTTACAGCACAAGTTATTCCTCTGGACTAGGCCCTGTACCTTCCTGTAATGACAACTTCACATAAAGGCTGCAAATACATTTTTAACTTTGGTTTTAGATTTTCGTTTTGCTGCTCTTAAAATGTACACATCATCTGTAGGGTAACAAGAAACAACCTCAACGAAGAAGAGATCACAGCCCACCCATCAAAACCAGCCTCTTGCTAGACTATACCATGGGAAGCCTCTCCTTGTGAGGCCTCCACAAAGCATATAAACACAACCCCAGACTCACAACCCCAGAGCCAACAGACTCTTGTCACTGTCCCAGATGATCAGAGTATGTTAGATCTCTCACCTTAAAAGCATCTTCCAAATTCTGCTGGACAAGTAGGTTCTGAAAGCCTGCTCTCACATGTGCCTGTAACTTGGAGGCCCCCAAACTGGCAGGCAATCCAGTCACATGGGGAGTATTCCAGACACCACTCTCTTCACTGAATGCCAGGCTCCACAATGCCTTAAGGCTACCTGAAGCAGATAAGCCTAGGGTCCACCCTAGAGGGCTCTAGATTTGCAGTGGACAAATATGTTAGATGGCAGGAATGAGCTACAGATTTGTGCAATGATCTTTAGAAAACAGAATATAATGGCCAGGCATGGTGGTGCACGCTCATAATCCCTGCATTTGGGAGGCTGAGGCAAGAGGATTGTTGCAAGTTTCAAGACCAGCCTCAGCTACAAAGTGAGCTCAAGACCAGCCTCAACTGCATAGTAAACCCTGTCTCAAAAAGACAAAACAAAATAAAAAAAAAAAAAAGAAGAAAGGAATATAAAGGAGAAGAATTTATAATCTTGATATCAGGAATATTTCTGAGTAGCACAGAGATGATCACACTGAAACCAAAGAAAATATAATCATGTATATGGCTCTGCAGTGGATATCTACAAAATCTAAAATAACTATTAAGTGATAATCTATAGAAAAAGTATAAAAGGCTTGGTTACAGTTAGATAACAGCATATAAACACTGTCAACTTTCGCAACATTCAAGTCTGCTATGAATAAAAAAGTTGACAAGTAGGAAGAGGTGAGGGGCTGATATTCTCATGTTACACAGAGGGGGACTCAGAGACTCTGCTTGACATCAACAGTACAAGAAACAGGGACTGGGGATTTAGCTTAGCGGCACAGCACCTGCCTGGCAAGCGCAAGGTCGTGAGTTCGATTCTTGGTACTGGAAGAAAAACAAGAAACAACAACAAAAAAACAGTACAAGAAACAGAGACTTGAGGACAGGTTACACATCCCTAATCCCAAATCCACAACTCTTTGAATGCTGACTTGATTTCTGGATTGGCGGTGCTCAACCAATAAAGTCTGCAAATATTCCCAAATCTGAAATGCTTCTGGTTCTAAGCATTTTGGAAAAAGGGTCTTCAACCTGTGTATCATTTAGAGTTACACAGGTAGCCAACAAAAGGACGAAACTAGCAATTCAGCACTTGCTCAAATTTAGCCAGACAGACAGCTGAGAAGCCTGTGGCCTTGGACTCCATGTCCACATGAGCAATTACGGAGGCTAAGCACTGGGCTAGGAGGCACTACTCCCAATTATGTACCTGCTGAATGGCAGAGCGTGAGAAGCAAGCTGACTAATTCTCTAGTCTTCAATTATTTTGAAAAGCAGTTACTAAAATTTCCAGAAAAGACCAGGTTGTAAACGTCCCTACTCAGTACACTCATTCTTTAACTGCACATCAGCATTCTGTAGGAAGAAGCCCTTGCCCTCTTCCCCACCAATAACCAACGCCTGGCCTGCTGGCCAGCTCTGCAACACAGTGACAGAGGAGCCAAGCAGGCTTCTTCTGCTAGTCAGATGCTCAGAAGACTTCACACTGGCAGACAATCAGAATGTCATAAAGACGGGACTCCAGGTCCCCACTCTAGAAGACAGAGTGGCACATGTGCAGGGCAGGGGGACAGTGCTGCTCAGATGGAGACTCCATCTGCTCATGAACCACAGTGTAGACTGTCAAAACCACTCAGGGGCTGCTTTTTATAGCTTCAAGAAATGTTTTGAAATACTCAGTAGAAAGGCAGCTTCTACCCCTAAAATAATTCTTTAAAAGTAAATGACAACCCAAAACTCTTTAGTTCCCAGGGCTAGAAATATAGTCAGTGGTAGAGCTCGGCTACAACGTACAAGGCCCCTGAACCACAACACATTAGTTCCTGTAAAGGGAATTTTAAAAACTCAATTTAGTCCACCATGACTTACCCCATTTTCAGTACGTTTTTCTCCAGGTACATTTATTACATTTCTCTGAGTTCTCTGCTCTTGAGCCTGACGGCCACCTAAAGAAATAAAAAAACCAAACTTACTAAAAGTCATATTACAAAAAAAAGTCATATTACAAAAAGCAATTCTCCTATATTTTCATTCACTCAAGTATTTACTGAACACAGTGTAAAATGCCAAGTTAAGAAATTCAAGATTTAATACAGTTTTAAAAATACAGCTGGGCATGGTGGCACATGCCTGGAATCCCAGCACTTGGGAGGCTGAGGCAGGAGGATCACTGTGAGTTCAAGGACAGCCTGGGATACATAAGCAAGTTCAGAGGCAGCCTGCACTACATAGGGAGACCATGTTTCAAAAAAAAGAAAGCTCTCTGTCTCTGCTCTGGGAGCAGCTCTCCTGCTACAGTCCCTGCCCCCTACCAAAAATGTACACCTGCTCCAGATTTGGCTCCACCCCGCCCTTGGTCAGGAACACCTCCTACAAGCTAAGCCGACCACGATCTGCAGTGGTGCAGCACAGGCCAAGATACTGACAGGAGAGGGCCTCAGCAGCTCTGCAGCCCCTCATCCTCTGACCTCATTTGTCCCAAGCTGCAGCTTCCAAACCAGCATCCTTTAAAGGGACATCGACACAGCAGCCAACCTCTTGGGGCAGGGCTGCTGTAGTTGGGGTGGCTGACTTGGTGCTAGGACGGCACTGTGTGTGGAAGCCTCATCCTGGATATGCCAGGAGCCCTTCTCTGAAGCAGCAGGTCTTTTCCTATGCCACTCTGGGCTTTGCCTCTTGGAGGCCGTGGGGCTCTTCTGCCTGACGGTGGCCTTTCTCATCCTCTTCACCATGGAAAGGGGCCGTCTCCACCTCACATAGTTCTTTCTTCCACGCCTTGTCTGCCCTATATGTTCCTTCCTACATATGTCCCTGGGCTGCCTGGGGAAAGTGACTGGCTCAGGATTTGACAGAGAGAAGATAAACAAACACTGTATTAATAAGGCGAAAAAAGCTTTCCAATTAATATTTTATATATAAAGTTATTTAAATGAAGTCTTTTATTTTCTTTACATTCTATCTCAGAATTTTTCCCCCTAACACTAGGGACTGACGGAGGGCCTTTGCAGTGAGTTAAGTCTCCAGTTCTTTTATTTAAACACTTTTCTGCGGGGCAGGGTCTTGTTAAGTTGCCCAGGTCAGGGTCAAACTTGTGACTTTCCTGCCTTAGCCTCCTACAGGGCTAGGACTATGGGCGTGCACCACCATGCCTGGCAAAATGGCAAAGATGGTAAATCTTGTTGTACATATTTTAACACAATTTAATTTTTTCAAAAAGCTTTTATATTTTAGAAGACATTAAGGTAGAATTTATTATCCAGTAATAATAATAAAAAAAATGAAAAAAACCCTGACCTTCATTAGCTGGGTAAAAACTGACCTGGCATATTCTCTCAAATTTAGCAATCTTATGAATTTCTATTTGTTCTGTAAAAACTGGAAGGTGCGTTCTAAAATGCATCAATTTAAACTTGAAAAGTCCTCTATGTGCCCCATTACATTCTTTGAACAAAGCAGGCGAGGCGAGGCTGTGCAGCAGCAGCTCTGTGGAGTGCACGTGCGTGCATGCACACGCCCGAGTGCTGAGGGGCTGCCCCCGCCTGGCCTGCCTGGTTTGCAGTGGTGCCACAGAGAGTGACAGTCCCCAGAGCTGCTCTGGACATGTGACCGAAAGGGCCCAGACCTAACACTGAGAGATGGGGGGCAAGCTAGAACGAAGTGTCCAAAAGGCCTCCTTACAGGGCCAGAAGTGACAAGAGATTATGAGCTTGAGAGCACCTAACAGTTTACAGGGTAAATTAAACAAGGAACAAGATAATCAAGTTAGTATTATTCAACTGCTACTTCTTGTAGAGACCAATCTATCAAGAAATTAGAACCTTATAAACATGAACCTTATGTGCCATCTTAAATCTCTGATGGTACAAAAGAAACTTAGTAACCTTGCATTTCATAGTTGGGATATAATAAGTAACACACTCAGCGAGCACCTGACTTCATTCCCAGTCCCCTCCAGCTCCTCACAGGACACACAGCCCATCGCTCTCAGCACGCCATTATAGGTGTGTGCCACCATGCCCAGGCTGATCTTTATATATATTTTGGGTTTTTCATCAAAAGAAACTGTAACTGATTTTTTTTTTTTTTTTTTGAGACAGTTTTGTTCTGTCATTCAGTCATTCAGGCTGGCCTTGAACTCACAGCAATCCTGTCTCAGCCACCTGAGTGTTAGGCTCACAGGCCTGTACCACAGCTGGCTAGAAACTGTGATATTTAAGCCTGTGTGTGATTTATTTCATTTAACATTATGGTTGTATTTACCATAAAATACAGACGTTCGACCCGTCCAGTACATATTAGAAACAATCCCTTCACAGAACAAATCTTTTTACATGTCTGAGTGCACTGTCTGAGAAAGAAGCAAGGGCCAGTGCCTGAAGAACGGATCAGAACCCAAACCACAGGAACACAGCCCAAGAACCACGAAGCACCAACTCTCCTCTCACCACTTGTGAGTGAAGGGGAAAGAACACGTGAATACCTTACTTTGGCATGTTTCCAATTTTTCTTACATTACCTGGCATAGCAACTGCTTACAAATGAGAAAGCATTTGTCTACCTTGTTCACTGCTCTCAGTTGGAGAGTCCTCATGTCGAAGAAAAAACTTCACTTCTTCCCTTCGAGGCCCCCACTTCTGCAGGTGCTCATACATCATGTGGTCGAAGGGTATGGGGCGCTCTAGGAAAAGACCACACCTTACTCACTCCAGAAACAACGCAACTCCAGCCAAAAGCAAAAACAAATAGACCAATGTACACAAATACACATATCTATGTACGTACATATTAGAGCACAAGGACACTGTAAACACTGAATTTTAACTTCAGTGAATAAAAGCTGAAATAGGAATGGGAAATAATTAGGCAACATACAAATACAGAAGTACACATAGAAGAAATCTGCAACATGTATTAGGATACAACGAAAACGTGTTTTTTTTACCACATTAACGTATCACAAAGTAATGTTTCCACTTTGCAAAGAAAGGAAACAAACTGGCTATACCATATTACTCCCTACTTATGTGCAAAGGGCTCATCAGAGCCCTTCCTGGCAGCTCAGAAACACTGCTGCAAATGTTTCCCTGCACTCAGACAGACCAAAATTTACCAAGTTAATGAAAGCTTCTACAAGTTCAAGTATTATCAGAAAACAAAGCTTACTAACAGAGTACAGTGTACCCTGAGTTAAGACCGGCCTGGCATACGAACGACTTAAGTTATGGCGGGAATTTCAGTTTTCACTTACAGCCAAAGTCTTGAGTGACAACTGGAATGCGGGCCAGTGTGCTTCCAGATGCTCTCAGATGCAGAATAACCCTTCGAGCGTTCTGGAGGGAACATTACGACAGCCTTTCCTGCATGGGGTTAATTTAGACATCCTGGGCCAGTGTCCCCTAAGGATACTGCGGCCTGCAGGAGAGAGGCTCTGAAGGCTGTGGGAGGAGCCTGAGCCTTCAGAGGACGCCCGAGTCCCAGCCCAGCCCCGCTCGGGGACGCGCCGAGTTGGCAGGCAAGCGGCCATGTATTTTTTTACCAATTACTTGAGGAGAACACTGGCACTGCTGCTAGAATGTAAAGCTCCTTTATGTTTATACTGCACTCTGTTTCCCTTGTCTAAGTCAGCTTTTAAAAAATCTGCATTATTTGCCTTATTCTTAGTTGTTTGCAGTTCTTTATATTCTGGTCAGCAATCCTTGATCAGTTACATACGTTAACCACAGACTTATCTTGTAAATTTCTTAGTACAGTATCTTTTTTGTATACCGGTTTTAAAAAGCCAGGCATGTTGGCGCATACCTGTAATACCAACACTTGGGAGGCTGAGGCAGGAGGATTGCTGTGAGTTGACAAAGTGAGCTCAAGGCCAGCCTGAACTGCGTAGCGAGACTGTCTCAAAAAAAGACCAAAAAAAAAAACCAAAAACAAACCAGTTTAAAAATTTAAATGTAAGCAGTTACCAATCTTTTCCAATTTTATTTTGGCTTGTTTTTTGAGACAGGGTCTCACTATGTTGCCTAGGATGGTTTTAAACTCCTGAGCTCAAGCAACTGTCTTGCCTCAGCCACCCCAGTAGCAGGGACTGAAACTACATTTCTGGCTAATTTGAATTTTCTGTACAATAAATACTTCAGTACTCCAAGATAAAAAAGACAGTGTTGTTTTATGTTTTTTCTACAAATTTTAAAGTTTTGCTGTTCACTGACTTTAGGGATTTATTTCTGTATGTGGAATAAGGATCTGATTTTACTTGTTCCTACTTGAATAATCAGTTCTCCCAGCACCATTTGTTCAACAGTTCATCCTTTCTCTGCAGACATAATCACTACTCTGACATGGATCAGGGTGCCATTTGCACACAGGGTTTTTTTCTGAGCTCTCTCTTATTCTGTTGGTTACCAATTACTCCCTATGCTGACAGTCAAAGTTCTAATTACTGTTGTACAGGAAGTCTTCCTATGTAGTACTCAATCCCCCTCAAAAGGCTGACTTTCCAAAGTGTCTTGGCATTTCCTAATCCTTTGCTCGGTCTGTGTTTTAGGAAAACCTTATCATGGTCTTCTTTTTTAAGGTGGAATTTTGACAGAAACCATATTTATAAGTAAGTAGAGAGAAACCTGATACCTTTGTGATTCTGAGTTTTCCAGGTCATGAACATTGTTTGCTTCCTTTTTTTTCTTTGCTTCTATTTTTTTCACTTCTGTTTTTTTTCATTTGTTTCACCTGTGTTCTTCAGTGATGTTTTGAAGTCTCACCACAAAGGTCTGTACATAGTAATTTATTTCTCTGAACTTTGTAGATTTTGGGTTTCATATACATAATCTTTTAAAAAATTATTTTAGGTTCCAGGACTTGAACTCAGGACCTTGCACTTGCCAGGCAGGCACTTATGCCGCTGAGCTACATCCCCAGCCCCTTAAAAATTATTTTGAAGTAATTTTAGAGTGATAGAAAGGTTGCCCAGATAGTATAGGAAGTTCCTGTATACTCTTCACCCACTTTCTCTTAATACTAATGTCCTACATATTTGTTTTCAGGGACAGGGTATCACTATAGTTCAGGCTGGCCTTGAACCGTGTAGCCCAAACTGGCCTCACACTCAAGGACAGCCTCCTGCCTCAGCCTCCCAAGAGCTGGGATTAGAGGTGCACACCACCATGCCTGGCCAGAAACAGTATTTTTATCAAAACTAAACAATTTACACTGGCATGACACTGTTAATTAAATCCCAAGCTTTATGTGAATTTCACTGTTTTCAATAATGTTGCCTATCTGTTTAAGGATCTGAACTGGAAAAACCACACAGCACTGCACTTTGTTGTATCTTCCTGCCATCCTCTGGCCTATAATACTTTTTTTGCTTGTTTAGTATGACCAGGACAGCTTTGAGAACTGCCTCTCACTTAGGTGTGTCTGGTGTCTTCCACACAGTGAGACTGAGGTCGCAGGTGCCAGGCAGGGCCCCAGACAGAGGCGCACTGCTCATCGCACCATGTCCACCACCCTGGTGGCACCAGCCTCATCCCATATAGTGCAGGGACCACTGTGCCTCTCCTCCAGGAAGCTGCACTTTCCTCTTCCACTCTGTCTTCTTGGGAAGCAAGTTATAACCCCAGCCCTGAGTAGGGATGGGGAAGTTCTCCCTACTGGAGGGGTGTTTCTTTTCTTTTCTTTTTTTTGGTCTTTTTTGGGACAGGGTCTCACTATGCAGTTCAGGCTGACCATTGAGCTCACTTTGTAGCTCAGGCTGGCCTCAAACTTGCAGTGATCCTCCTGCCTCAGTCTCCCGAGTGCTGGGATTACAGGCATGAGCCACCATACCCAGCCTGGCGGGGTGTTTCCATATGGGCTCTTCAAAGTGCTTTTGTTAGGAAGATTTGTCCCTCCCCATTTCTACATGTACTTATTTTAACCATTTATATCAGGATGGACTTATGAATATGTAAGGCTGTGCTTTGTGTTCTAAACCAGTATGTGTTACTTTGCTGTTCAAACTGTTCCAGTTTAGGCACTGGAAGCTCTTCCATATTAGTTCCTATGTCTCTCTGTGACACCCTTGACTTTTTTTTTGGTACTGGGAATCGAACTCAGGACTTTGAGCTTGCCAGGCAGGTGCTTGTGCCGCTGAGCTATATCCCTGGCCCCACCCCTGACTTTTTTATTGTTGAGTACTTTCCTACTTCCAGCACAATATGATACTTCAAGCATATCTTGCTTATCCTATAGTTTTGTTTTTGTTTTTGTTTTTGTTGGGTCTTGCTCTGTAGTTCAGGGTGGCCTTGAATTCACTATGTAGTCCAGGCTGGTCTTAAACTCTCAGTCTCCCGAGTGCTGGGATTATAAGCACATGCCACCACACCCAGATCTGAAGTTTTTAAAGTTATTAGTTATTATATATTTCCCATTGATGATTACTTGTGTATTCTTATATTAGGAACATGACCTCTTAAACTTAAGTGAATTCACCCGCAGGTGTGTATGTACGCGCGCGCGCGCGCGCGTGTGTGTGTGTGTGTGTGTGTGTGTGTGGTGTTGGAGATGGAACCCAGAAATGTTAGGCAAGCACTCTATCCTAAAACTACCCATAAGCCCCTATCTATTGGTCTTGGTTTTTTGTTGGTTTTGTTTTGTTTGTGGTATTGAGGTTGAACCCAGTGCTTTTGTACTGAGCTACATCCTTGGCCTTTTATTATTATTAATTATCATATTGAGACAGGGTCTCACTAAGTCACTTAGTTGCCCAAGCTGAGCTTACACTTGTGGTCCTCCTGCCTCAGCCTCCTACAGTGGTAGGATTACAGGCATGTGCCACCACACCTAGCTGTCCACAGGCTTTTTTTTTTTTTTTTAATTTTTTTTTTTTTTTTTTTTTGGTTTTTCTCCAGTACCGGGAACCGAACTCACAACCTTGAGCTTGCCAGGCAGACGCTTTTGCTGCTGAGCTAAATCCCCAGCCCCCAGGCTTTTTATATAGACAAAAATAATGTCAAATAACTAGGGGTGGTTTCAGCTCTCCCTTTCCAATTGACTGCTCTTCCTTGTCTTGCTGCACTGGCTAGAACCCTGAGGTACAATGCCAAACGGAAGCTGGTCTGCATCTTCCTCTTCCTGCCTTTAATGCATATGCTTCCCTAGTCCACAGCCAAGTCTGAGTTCTGCTAAAGGGTTTTAAAATCACTCATTCATTTAAGGAAGCTCCCTTATATATCCCTTTGTAGTAATTATTATCATGGAAGACTCAGTTTTTTGTTTTTGTTTTTTTTTTCCGATACCAGGACTTGAACTTACAACCTTGAGCTTGCCGGGCAGGCACTGTGCCACTGAGCTAAATCCCCAGCCCCTAGAAGACTCAGTTTTAATACACTGAAATGATAATGGGGACTTTCTGGAAGATGGCAGAGTGGTGAGCAGCAGAGAAAGAGCCTCTCTGAGATGTAGTGTCCAGACACTGGAATATAGCAATGTGAAGATGAGATAAAGGAGGCGGGTGGGTTCCCAGGACCTAGGAAGGATCTGAAGCCCACAGGGACAGTACAGAGAGAAACTCAATGAGGAAGGAGGAGGGGGCAGGTGTCGCTTTCTCCCTGAGCCCAGACTCACTGCGTGGGCAAAGCAACTTGAACCTGGAGACCCACGGTGACCACTGCGACCCCAGAGGCCTCCACAGAGAAGCGCACC